TGCTATACAGGCTGAAGAGGCTGAAATGGGGTGGATACGGCTCCCCCACCAACGCTGAAGGGCTCAAAGGTACAGCTGAATCTTTAGCAGAAGAAATACTGAGTGGAAGAGACCTGCCCAGCCACGAGACCAAGCCAAGACCTTTGTGGATCTCTGAAGAGAACTCTTTCGCTAACAGCAGTGGCAGTGGGCTGGTGAGCGGGGTGTGTAGATCACAAAGCTATTGACTGTGTGCGGTGAACATTTCGATTTTTGTTCAACACAGAAAACAGTAGCACTCAAAAGTGTCTTTATGATCAGATGTGCTCATTCATGATCTGGCTAGTCCTATAACTTGTTCCTAATGGTGAAACAAGAATCCCCACACAGGAACTCTATTCCTAACCAATGTTCCCTCTTGTATTTTCCATTCATGTGTAGATTTTTCCATCCATGTGCAAAATAAATGTTGTTATGTTCACTGAGGCATGTGCAAATGTGCACCACCAGGAGAAACACAAAACCTAGATGTGGGCACTCTGCTAATCAACTGAGCAGCATTAGAATCTCTCCTGAGTAGCCGCACAAGCACCCAGCTTATATTTACAGGGAACACTGTTCCCAATCCTTGATTATTTGGGGATCAGTTCATGCCTCAAAGCAGGAGGAGTGCTTTGAAATCCTGATTAGTCTAACTCTGGATGCTTGCTTACTTTGAAATCCTGATTAGTCTAACTCTGGATGCTTTCTTTGCTAATCACAGAAATGTCAGGCTAGGAGGGACCTTCATCTAGTCCAGCCCTTTCCACTGAGGCAAGAATGAGTGAACCCGGGCCATTTTGCTGATAGGTTTTTGTCTAATCTGTTCTTAATAACTTTCAGGAAAGGGGATTCCATGCCTCCCTAGGTAACCCTGTGCTTATCTATAACTGTACCTGTGCTTATCTATCCTTATAGCTAGAACATCCTTCCAAAGATCTACACTAAGGCTAAGTCTACACTGCAGAGTTTTTGTGCAACAACTCACAGAGCGGCCACACCTCAAGCACGTTTTTGCGGAAGAACATTTACAGTGAATCAACAGAACAAAGGAGGTTCTGTGGTATAGGTATTCCTCTCTCTACGAGGAATAACTCCTTTTTGCGCAATAGCTCTTGTGCAAAAAGGTGTGTGTGGACAGAAAACAGGGTTTTTTTGCAAAAAAACAACCTGTCAAGCAGGAGAACTGTTCACACTATTACTTGTTCTGGCAAAACTATTGTTGTTCGGGCATTTTTTTAATCATGTGTGAACAACAAAAGCTTTGTCACTCAATTGCCAGTGTAGACAAAGCTTCAGGTCAGGCCTCTAGGGCAGTGGTGCCCAACGCGGTGCCTTGTGGAAGGTCTCTTCTGCAAAAAGCTTCTCGTGCAAGAAGCCTGCAGTGTAGATGTAGCCTAAATCTCCTTTGCTGACAACTAAACCACATCCTTCTTGTCCTGCTCTTTGTGCGCCCCCGGGCGTGTGGCAGGTGCCAGCTGCGGGTGCATGGGCGGCCTCTGCCCCGGGGTCGCGGCACATGCCGGTGCTGGCCCAGGGCGTGCGGTTGCTGCTGCGTTCTTTCAAAATTAAATCTTTCGACCGCGGAGTGGACTAACACCTTTTTTTCTCAAGTGCTCTTTCGAAAAAAGGCATTATTGAATGCAAACAGGACTTTTTCAAAAGAGAGCATCCAGATTGCCTGGGTGCTCTCTTTGGAAAAGGCAGCTTGCTTTTTCGAAAGAAGTGGTTGCAGTCTAGATGCTCTCTTTCGAAAGAGGCTTGTAGTCTAGACGTACCCATAAAGAACAATCGATCATTTGCCTCTTTATTAGAATGGTTAACAGATTTGAAGACTGTTATCTGGTCTCCCTGCTAATTCTGAAATTTTTCATCTTTGATTGTCACTTTTCTCTTTACATTTATTAAATTATAAACAAATATAAATTTCAAAATAAAAAAATCATTTTGAACCCTGATTTTAAAAATGTCAAAACAGGAGGTTTTGCACAATGTAAAAGCTTCCCTTCAATTTAAAGGTACAGCTGAATCTTTAGCAGAAGAAATACTGAGTGGAAGAGACCTGCCCAGCCACGAGACCAAGCCAAGACCTTTGTGGATCTCTGAAGAGAACTCTTTCGCTAACAGCAGTGGCAGTGGGCTGGTGAGCGGGGTGTGTAGATCACAAAGCTATTGACTGTGTGCGGTGAACATTTCGATTTTTGTTCAACACAGAAAACAGTAGCACTCAAAAGTGTCTTTATGATCAGATGTGCTCATTCATGATCTGGCTAGTCCTATAACTTGTTCCTAATGGTGAAACAAGAATCCCCACACAGGAACTCTATTCCTAACCAATGTTCCCTCTTGTATTTTCCATTCATGTGTAGATTTTTCCATCCATGTGCAAAATAAATGTTGTTATGTTCACTGAGGCATGTGCAAATGTGCACCACCAGGAGAAACACAAAACCTAGATGTGGGCACTCTGCTAATCAACTGAGCAGCATTAGAATCTCTCCTGAGTAGCCGCACAAGCACCCAGCTTATATTTACAGGGAACACTGTTCCCAATCCTTGATTATTTGGGGATCAGTTCATGCCTCAAAGCAGGAGGAGTGCTTTGAAATCCTGATTAGTCTAACTCTGGATGCTTGCTTACTTTGAAATCCTGATTAGTCTAACTCTGGATGCTTTCTTTGCTAATCACAGAAATGTCAGGCTAGGAGGGACCTTCATCTAGTCCAGCCCTTTCCACTGAGGCAAGAATGAGTGAACCCGGGCCATTTTGCTGATAGGTTTTTGTCTAATCTGTTCTTAATAACTTTCAGGAAAGGGGATTCCATGCCTCCCTAGGTAACCCTGTGCTTATCTATAACTGTACCTGTGCTTATCTATCCTTATAGCTAGAACATCCTTCCAAAGATCTACACTAAGGCTAAGTCTACACTGCAGAGTTTTTGTGCAACAACTCACAGAGCGGCCACACCTCAAGCACGTTTTTGCGGAAGAACATTTACAGTGAATCAACAGAACAAAGGAGGTTCTGTGGTATAGGTATTCCTCTCTCTACGAGGAATAACTCCTTTTTGCGCAATAGCTCTTGTGCAAAAAGGTGTGTGTGGACAGAAAACAGGGTTTTTTTGCAAAAAAACAACCTGTCAAAAGAAGCGCAGGTGCCCTGGTGGCCATTCTGTAAATGGCAATCAGAGATTTCTTGTGAGAGAGCATCCATGCAGTCTGGACGCTCTCTTGCACAAAAGTGCATCGCTTTTCCAATGCACTTTTGCAGTGTGGATGCACTCTTGTGCAAGAAGTTTTTGTGGAAGGTCTCTTCTGCAAAAAGCTTCTCGTGCAAGAAGCCTGCAGTGTAGATGTAGCCTAAATCTCCTTTGCTGACAACTAAACCACATCCTTCTTGTCCTGCTCTTTGTGGACTTAGGGTGTATCTAGACTACAGGGTTTTTTTAAAAAAATTGGCCTTTTTTCAAAAAAACTTCACCTGCGTCTAGATTGCTGCTGCGTTCTTTCAAAATTAAATCTTTCGACCGCGGAGTACCTCATTTTACTAGGAATAACGCCTTTTTTCGAAAGTGCTCTTTTGAAAAAAGGCATTATTGAACACAAACAGGGCTTTTTCGAAAGAGAGCATCCAGACTGCCTGGGTGTTTTCTTTCGAAAAAGCAGCTTGCTTTTTCGAAAGAAGTGGTTGCAGTCTAGATGCTCTCTTTCGAAAGAGGCTTGTAGTCTAGACGTACCCATAAAGAACAATCGATCATTTGCCTCTTTATTAGAATGGTTAACAGATTTGAAGACTGTTATCTGGTCTCCCTGCTAATTCTGAAATTTTTCATCTTTGATTGTCACTTTTCTCTTTACATTTATTAAATTATAAACAAATATAAATTTCAAAATAAAAAAATCATTTTGAACCCTGATTTTAAAAATGTCAAAACAGGAGGTTTTGCACAATGTAAAAGCTTCCCTTCAATTTTTGTCAAAACAGGAATATTTGTTTCCATTCTAAATGTTTCCATTCTGATGAACTGGCATTTTCCACCAAAACATTTTTTTTTTAAATTGAATCATCCAGCTGTAATCACATCCCTTCTTATTCATCTCATGGTCTTTTCAAGTAGCTGTGTAAATATAGCCCTGTCTCTCTTCTGTGGATGACTTTAATTGCATTCAAATTCACTCCTTTTAGAAGTGCAGGGCCAGCATAGGAAAGCTGCCTTCAGTTCTGCCTTTGACATCACTGACAGAATTTTCTGCTCAGTTCCATTTGGTCCCTCTTTATACTGATGATGATAGAGTCCAAGGCAGAACAAACCTGGCTGGATTTTCAGATCCCAGGCAATGTCTGCTGATTAAAGGATTCATAATACTGTGTTTCATAGAATGAGCAAATTTTCTCTGGAAATCGGATCCTTACACAGATGTAAATGGGACTTAGGCCTTCATACCACTGCCTCAGCATGAGGGGATGGGCTAGATAACTTCCTGAGGTCTCTTCCATTCTGACATTTCTATAGCCCTGGGAAATGGTCCCCAACTTGTATAGCAGCTCTTAGGAGAAGCCGTCTTTATAGTAATTGGAAGAAAGGTTGCCAACTTTCTAATCCCACAAAATTGAACACCCCTGCTTCGTCCCTTCCCTGATGCCCTGCCCCTTCCATGAGACTCTGCCCTTTCTCCAAGATCCTGCCTCTGCTTGCTCCATGCCCCCCACTCTTACTCTCACCCTCACCCAGCTGGAGCAGGAGGTTGGGGGCAAAAGGGGCGTAAAAGTTTTGTCTGGTGGTGTGGGCTCTGAGGTGGGATGGAAGATGAGGGTGTGGGGTGCAGGGGGATGTTCTGGGATGGGTCAGGGGGTTGGGGTACAGGAGGGGGTAAGTGTTCTGGTTCAGGGTGTAGGCTCTGGGGTGGTGGGGTGGAGGATATGGGTTTGGGGTCCAGGAGGGAGGGGAGTGTTCTGGCTCAGGGTGTAAGCTCTGGGGTGGTACGGAGGATGAGGGTGTGGGGTGCAGGAGGAGGTTCTGGGATGGGTCAGAGGATTTGATAGCAGACTTCAGCTTCCTGAAGGGAGGTTACAAAGAGGATGGAGGGAGGCTATTCTCAGTAGTGATGGATGGCGGAGCAATGGTCTCAAGTTACAGTGTGGGAGGTCTAGGTTGGATATTAGGAAAAATTATTTCACTAGGAGGATGGTGAAGCACTGGGATGGGTTCCCTAGGAAGGGGGTGGAATCTCCATTCCTAGAAGTTTTTATGTCTTGGCTTGACAAAGCCCTGGATGGGATGATTTGGTTGAGAGTAGTCCAGCTTTGGGCAGGGGGTTGGACTCGATGACCTTCTGAGGTCTCTTCCAGCCCTATGATTCTATGATTCTAGAGGGTTTGGGTGTGGGGGGGGGGGTGAGTGTTCTGGCTCAGGGTGCAGGTCTGGAGGGGACTTTGGGGAAGCAGCTGACAGATCCCTGTGGCCCCTAATGGTAAGGAGGCTTTATCACACCTGCAGGCATCTCCCCTGCTGTTTCCGGCCAATGGGAACTGTAGAGCCAGCACGTGGGGCAAAGGCAGCTTTACAGAGTTTCTTTGCACGTAGGGGCTGCAGCAACCTGGTAGCTGCTTCTGGAAACAATGCGGAGCCAAGGTCAGTAGGGCTCCTGCTGCACTACTGACCAGACTTTTAACTGTTTCTGAGCCCTCTTCCTGGAAAAAAATGCTTTTCCCCACCTCTTTGTCTGGCTTGCCCCCTTAGCCTACAAGTTCTGACTCGGTGCAGCATTTCCTGTTATTCTAGTAACCCTTCCTGCTTCCATTGCAGCTGGCCTGCCCGCCACCAAGCCGCCACCACGCCGCAGAGCAGCAGTGCAGCCCCCTGGAAATCTCGACATTCCCCTCCGTTGTGGCTGCGACTGACCAACACCCATTGCCGGTCAGGTGCCTGCCTCAGGAAGCCTTCTGGGGCTATGGGCACCAGCCAGAGGAGTGATCCATCGTGGCAACCCAGGCTAGCCTGTTGCCTTTTTGAAGTGCTCAGTGTGAGCATGGGAGCTCTTGCCTGTGCACACTTGCAACAGGCCATGTATTGAAAGGGTATTAGTGCTTGGTGCCTGGTTATTGGCTATTTGTCCCTTGGTTTTTTTTTGGCAAGGAAAGCAGCTGCTTTGTTCTTGGCATTCTCTGGGCGCTCTCAGTAGCCAGAAAGACATCAGCAAAGACTTCAGGATTGTTTCCATAGTGATGCAGTGCAAATGGAATAGAAGAGGAAGCTGTCTGCATTATACCCCGCCCTCTCTCTCCCGCTCCTACATGTTTTAGTTATCCAACGCTCAGAGAGCAAATCAACCTAAGCAACAATGTCTAACGCACCTGCCACCTACAATACCAGGAAGTCATGAGCTACCCCGACGCTGGATGAGACAGATGCTGAAATGGTATCAAAGCAATGTCCCCTTGATGCCCTCTACCCCAGGAAAGATTCAGATAAGCCTTTAACCTGGGAGCTTGTTTGAACCTGAGCTGAAATTTGGAGCCACTTTCCTCCCATACCTGCAGCTACAGAGCTGTCTCTACCCGATGGAAGGCTGCCTTGGCCATTGCTGGTGAATGACAGTTTTGCGGGAGACAGCTTGCGCTCCTCTCTTCCTGCGGAAAAAGCAAAAGTCATGGGTGGCAGGATCCCCAGACGCTTGCAGATGATTCTCTTCTCTCCAGTGAGAACCATCCAGGAGAGGTAAGTGTGGGGCACTTAGTGAGAGGCTAACCTGTTGGACTTCTCCAAAACTTCATGTCATGGAGAGGGGTGTGAATCAGGCCCAGTTCTTCTGCTGCTCCTGACCCTAGTTTCATGGTAATGAATTATAAATCGTGCCTCCAGGAAAACCTTGAGCACATGGAATCCCAACACCTTTTTGAAAACCCAATCCCCTCCTGGCTCATTTGGAAGGTGAATGAAAACAGCTAGGATGAAATTCAGTTAATCCCTTGTGCTGCCACCCTTCTGAATGGGGCATGAATTTTCCCAGCAGAACACTCTGGGTTCTACCCTCCAAAGGAAAGTAGGGAATTTTGAAAACCCCACTGCAAACTTTTAATAACACCACCTATTTATTTTTTAAGAAAATGAGCTACAATCTTTTTAAATTTGGGCCAGAGAAAGTACTTCCCTCCCTAGAATTGGGCTGTGTTTTCCAGCATCCACAAATGCACATGACCTTTCCAGTGCTGTGTGATAAAAGCATATTCTTGGCAAAGTTCAAACACACCCTATATATTGGCATTGTAAAATGATAAGCATTGGGCTTTGGAAAGCACTGCGACTATTCTAGTTGCACCAAGACCTTTCTGTATTGCAGGTAACTTACTTTGGAGAGGTTTTTAAATTCTACTTATGTTCCCATGCAAGTATTGATTGATATATATCAGATGGTTGCCGATCATTTAAGTTACTGCTCACACATTTGGAAAGGGGTTTGAATCAGGCCCTATAGAATTAGTTCATGTTGTTCAGTAATATTTGAGGTACCAATTCAGTAAAGAACATAAAGACATGCTTAATTTTAAACACGTCTAAGCTTATTGATATCCAGCAAAATATACAAGCACCTAGCTGAATCCAGACCCTGAATGAGTCAGGTTTTTACTGTTCTGTAACATTTAATGTTCACTTTTTGATCTTTGCAAGTTCAGTAACAGTTAACAAAGGGGTCTATTGTTCAAATATAGGAAGATTAGTGACCCTAACAGTTTATTGTGCAGGTGAGGACAATTCCTTCGTTTATCTCACTGTTCAGCTAAATTTGTTATAGAATTTGTGTAGCGATTTTGCTCCTATTTGATGTCTTGTCTCAAGAAGTTATTTAGAAGTTCATTGTACTATTCTGTACTAGTTATGGGAAATGTTCCCTCTTATTTATTATCCCCACTATTAAACAAAGTGGAAACACTTGGCAGTATTTATATTTTATTTCTATTGAAAGAGCATTGTGGAAATTAGTGGTAAACGTGACAGAGCCAAATTACTGCCAGACTAGCACTCTTTGGGGCCTCCCTTATGCCCTATGCTGGGCAGACACAGCACAGGAGATTGAGAGCTCTTCAACGAGAAATGCTGCTGCTGGCCAATGCTAGTGTCCCAGAGGATAGAGGAACAGGATCTTGTTGGTGTCGTAATTTTTCTCAGGCTATCTTGTTGTGCATAACTGCAGGTGCCCAAGATGTATCTGTTGGGTGCAGATTATCTTTCCTGTGGAGTTAGATTAATGAAAGAAGCTGGCAACACATGGGGGGAGGGCAGTGCAAAGGGTTACAAATTACTTTTACAATTACTGCAGGTTTCCAAGTCATTCCTTCCAGGCATCACAAGACTTTTTGGCTTTGGACCAGCAAGAAAAAACAAACAAAACCCCCTGAAGTAAACACATGACGGGTATGAGGAGATTGAAAGCACACACTGAACTGCCCAAGGAAGGCCATGCGTGCTTGGTAAAAGTGCAGATTATCTCATCCGATTCAGCGTTCCAACCTAATCCACACAGAGAGGTGCAAATTCCCCTTCTGATTCCACTTCCTGGAGTTGCCTGTTTGCTAACAATGGCCGTAATACTTTCATGCCAGCCTGTCCACTTCCAGGAATGGGATGCTGTGCCAAGAAAGAACTGCTTCCCTAAGCTCCCACTTCAGTGAGTGGCTGAGGGTTCTGAAACAGCATCTCTCCCCAGGCTGTTACAGTACTTGTAGTCCTGGGGCCACTGTTAGGATCCAAATCCACAGATTTTCCATCCAAACTTTTTGGGGATGAAAAATTAAGAATGAGATGGAATTAAAATGTCCTCAGAAAAGGAATGTATCCTTTGACAACTGAAAAGTTTTCCACTGAAAACCCCCAAATGACATTTTTCCACTTGGAGGAGTTTGGGGACTAAAACATTTTTTTTTTAACATTTTTGGTAATACTTTTGTCAAACATTGCTCACTTTTTGGAAGCTTTCAGCTAATGTTTCTTATTTATTTAGCCAAATTGGTATTCATTTTCAGTTGCTTGAAAACAATAAAATAAAATAAAATAAAATAAAATAAAATAAAATAAAATAAAATGGAGGGTTTTGGCCAAAAGTCAGAATTTTCAACTGAAAAAGTTGACAGTCCATCACTGTATCTTTGGCTGGTGTTGCTCTGATTCTGCGACTGAGATTAAAACCTGCAATATTAACAGCTCCTTTTGACAAGTATCAGAGCAGAAGTTGTGTAAGTCTGTATCTGGAAAAGAATGAGGAGTTCTGTGGCACCTTAAAGACTAACAGATTCATTTGGGAATAAGCTTTCATGAGCAAAAAACTCAATTAGATGCTCTGCTTTTTGGTGACATTAGGGCTTGACTACATTGAAATTTAGCTTGGATTACATTTTTCCACCGTAACTCTTTAAGGCTGTGTCTACACTGGACCACTTATTCCGGAAAATCAGCCGCTTTTCCGGAATAAGCTGCGAGCTGTCTACACTGGCCCCTTGAATTTCTACTGTACAAAATCAGCTGCTATTCCGGAAAAGCTTCGCTGCTCCCGCTCGGGCATAAGTCCTTATTCCAGAACACTGTTCCGGAAAAGGGCCAGTGTAGACAGCCAAGTAGTCTTTTCCGGAAAAAAGCCCCGATCGCGAAAATGACGATCAGGGCTCTTTTCCAGAAAAGCTCATCTACATTGGCCACAGATGCTTTTCCGGAAAAAGGGCTTTTCTGGAAAAGCAGCCTGCCAATGTAGACGCTCTTTTTCCAGAAATACTTATAACAAAAACTATTCTGTTTTAAGCATTTCCGGAAATTCATGCCAGTGTAGACACAGCCCTTGGGTCTAGCTCTTCTAGACGCGTGCAACAGTGCTGTCCTTCAGTAGTGCTTTCTATCCCTAGCTCTCCAAAACCTTCACAGAGGAGACCCGCATCAGATGGGACTGTTGTGATCTAGTGTCAAACCCCTGGATCACACAGGCCAGATAACTGCCCCAATGTAATTCGCAGAGCAGATCCATTAGAAAACCATTCCATCTTTGTTTAAAAATGGTCTGTGATAGAAAACCCACCATGGCACCAGGTGAGTTGTTCTATTAATCACTCTCATCATCAAAAATATATGCTTTGAATTTGATTTGCTTCGACTTCTAGCCGTTGGTCCACAGGGATGTTAATATTGGTTAATTGAATAGTTGATTAACCTCATGAATTCCTATCGGTTACTTGACTATTCCATATTCCCAGGAGTGGGGCTGGCAGCCAGTGCAATCTGGCCCCTCTGCCATTCTGTGCTGCTGCCTCTGTGGGGTGCTAGGAGGGAGCTGGTCCACAAGGGGAGCCAGTTTAAAAATTAGCTGATAAACAAGCAGCAGTGTGATATGGCAGCAACCCCTGTCCGGGGGGAGTCTGAACTTCCAGATTTGTCATGAGCTGGAACTGAGTCAGGTTGCCTGTGTACCTGGCTACTAATAAACTTTACATGTAGGTAGGTCGTGGACCCGTGCAAGCCAGGACTGAGCTGAGCTGCTGGACAGCACGCTAAAAAATTTGCTGGTGGCAGTTGGGGGATGGGCGACAGGGGGAAGGCCAGGAAATGCGTTTAGTCTATATCATTAACCAATAAGCTTTTGCTGATGACTTAATTGACTGCACTATTACATCGCTATTGGACCTGGCTATATCTACCTGTCTCTGTTAGATTGAAGAGCCTGTTACTAAATATTTGGTCCCCCTGTAGGTTATTATAAACTGTGATTAAGTCACCCCTCTTAACCCTCTCTTTGGTCAGCTAAATGTATCAAGTTCCTGGAGTCTTTCTTATAAGGCACGTTTTCCAATTCTTCCTTCCTTCTCATGGCTTCTCTCTTATCCCTCTGGTTTTGCTCCAGCTCTGCTCCCAGGCCCCAGCACAGAGGGTGCTCTGCTCTATGGGCTCCTCTCTGCTCTAGGAGAAGCAAAGTATGCTTTAGCACAGCCATAAGGGTGCTCTCATTTACCTCTGGGGACAAGAGCCAAATAGGGTGCATCTATACTGCAGGGCTTAACTCGAAATAAGCTACACACATTGAGCTCCATCAATTGCATAGCTTATTTCAAAATAAGGAGCATCTGCACAGCACTTATTTTGAAATAGAGCATCCTTCCTCCGACTTCACTTACTCCTCATACAATGAGGGTTACAGGATTTGGAGTAAGAAGTCTTCCAGCTTGACAGTATTTTGACATTATTTTGAAATAACTGCCTGCTGTGTAGATGCAGACTAAGATATTTTGGAATAACACTAGTTATTTCAAAATAATGTTGCTGTGTAGACGTACCCATTCAGAGAATGCATAGTTACCTCCCCACCTTGCTCCAGTTCTGCCCCAGCCCCAGAAACTGGACAATGGAGACTCAGGAGCCCTTGGGGGAAGACTGGCCCTGATTCCTCACTGATTACCCTTTAACATTGGCTTGGCTCAGGCCTAAGTGCTGACATGTGGCACAGGTGAGGGTGGGGAATCCGTCTCGACATGTACACTGCAGGCCCTAGAACTGGTCACTATGCAAAACTTCAGGTCATGTGGGAACCAGACCATAGCAGCCAGTGATGGGATGTACTGAAAATTATGTGCGATGGGGTCATATCATGGAAACTAAAGGAATGAGAAGCATGAGTAACTGTGCAGTGAGCCAGGCTGTTTGGCTGTGTTTAACTGGTTAACCACATACATGAGGGGGGGCGGGAGGCCAGCTGGGATGGAATGTCTCCCACCCGCATCATGGCGGGCTGCTCCACCCAGGCTGGAGCACTGGTTAACCATAAGTGATAAAGATCACCCAGTGAGGGTCATGCTTACCGGTTAACCATTTACATCCTTTACAGAAAACATATCCTGTACATCAGTGGCTCCCAGTCTCTTCAGGGATATGTTAAATCTACTAAAATTTTACAGACCCCCTCCACCTCCGAACTACATAGCTGTGCCAGCGGCCAGCAAGTCAATCAACTTGTGCTGCTTCCTGAGCCTTCAGCACAGGTTGAAGGATATGCTGGCTGCAAGAGGCACTGTGCAGACACCTTTATGGTACCGCCACAGACCCCCCAGGGGTCCCTGGACCACAGGTTTGGACCACTGGTAGATCACAGAATCATTTGCTGTGGGCCCTATAGCCAGGCCCCATAGAGACTCGCTGCACCACAGTCCTACACCAGGGTCCCGTGGAGACCTGCATGCCGTGGTACCTACACTGGGTGTGATGGCATGTTGGGGTTCCCCCCAATCCTGCAGCCCTGTAGGAGCAAGAACAAACTCCACCAGCCAGTAGAATAGAGAGGGTTTATTGCTTCTCCAGGATACAGCACAGCACAGACGTGATGTGGTTACAGGAGTCAGGGCCCGGATGCCTCAGACCCCTTGGGTTAGGGGGTCCATCACCCCCTCAACCCTCCACACCCAGCTTAGTCTGTTCCCTTCATATTTTCTAGCCTGAAACTGCCTCGCTCCCAGACTCTGCCCCCCAGCCAGGTGTTCATTTCTGCCTCCCTGCCTTTGTCTGTCCTCTGGGCAGCGGTATCGCATGTGGGTGAGTCAGTAGGAATCACACATCACAGCACAGGGGAAGCACTGCTTACAGAGCAGACAGCACCCCCTCTACGTTACACTGGGGACCTAAGGAGACCTGCGTGCTGCGGTCCCTACACCAGGGGCCCATGGAGACTTGAACCATAAAATCATAGAATACTAGAACTGGAAGGGACATCAAGAGGCCATCAAGTCCAGTCCCTGCCCACACAGCAGGACCCAGTACTGTTTAGACCAGTGTTTCTCAACCTTTTTTTGTTCATGGCTCCTTTCTGAGCCGCATTCATCATGCGCCTGGTAGTCAAGTTTGGGTGGCCCCCTACTGTTCCGTTGTTTTCCATGTGGCCCCCCCTAGAAGTAAGGCATGGCCCCCCGGGGAGCCATATGGTCCACGTTGGGAACCACTGGTCTAGACCCGCCCCGATAGACATTTATCTAATCTACTCTTAAATATCTCCAGAGATGCTACAGCCCTTGCCTGTGCTATAGAGCCCCTGCACTGCGGGCCCTGCGGCCCCATGGAGACTTGCATGGTGCAGCCCATATGGACTCTACAGCTTGCACATCACAGCCCTATGCATGCTTCGGCGCCCCCAACGCTACAGAGACCCACGAGTGTGGTGCGGGCCCCTTAGGGAGCCTCACGCTTGGTCCCTACGCGCCCCATAGAGCCCCACTCACCGCCCCCGCCCGCGTGCCCCTTAGCGCCC